TTGCGGAAGATTTACGGTCCTTTACGCGTTGGCGACGGCGAGTACCGCAGACGATGGAACGATGAGCTGTATGAGCTTTACAACAATATGGACATAGTGCAGCGAATTAAAATACAGCGGCTCCGCTGGCTTGGTCATGTCGTTCGAATGGACACCGACGCTTCAGCTCTGAAAGTATTCAACTCGGAACCCGCTGGTGGTAGCAGAGGAAGAGGGAGGCCCACACTGCGATGGAAAGATCAGGTGGAAAAGGACTTGGCTTCACTTGGCGTTTCCAATTGGCGTCAGTTGGCACAGAGGAGAAACGACTGGCGTGCTTTGCTGAACTCGGCTAAAATCGCTTAGGCGGTTACAGCGCCAAAAAAGAAGAAGAAGAAGATGAGGTTGCTCCTATAGCTGCATTATTACATCTATTCTGTGTGTTGCAATATCCACGGAAGCAGCAGTTATGAAGAAAATGATTTAAAAATATTAGACAAATTCTCTACTTATATGTTTGGCTTTCATTTGTGTTATTTTTCCAACGTCAAAAGCTAGACTTTTTTTTTAAAGTTGGTATACCAAAAAATACGAAACACGTTTTCTGTCAGATAGCTAACATGGCGGATAAGAAGAAGAAGTGAAACTACCCGGAAAAAAAGAATCTTATATGCTAATCTAGGCAAAAAGCTAACTACGTACCAAATTTAAAGCAAATCAGACCATAACTGCAATTTTTTCGAATAGATCGGTCCCTGGTCCACTTCCCGGAAAAAAATATCCTATGTGCNTATGCTAATCTAGGCAAAAAGCTAACTACGTACCAAATTTAAAGCAAATCAGACCATAACTGCAATTTTTTCGAATAGATCGGTCCCTGGTCCACTTCCCGGAAAAAAATATCCTATGTGCTAATCTGGGCAAAACCCTACCTACGCACCAAATTTTAAGCAAATCGGACCATAACTATGATTTTTTCGAATAGATCGGTCCCTGGTCCACCGGAGGGTTTTCCCAAAATTTTCTTTCGTATAAACCTTCTCCTGGCAATTACGAACAACTGAAAAAGAAAAATTTCCCAAATCGGCCCAACCGTTCTCAATTGATGAATCACTATAAATATTTCACACCATTTTTATATATATAGATAGATATGTATGTATATGAGAACATATTACATGGAACTGCATTTGACATAACTCGGCTTTGGAGCCAGCTATCGGGCTTATTTTATGCTAGGTGTATTTATCCTAATGTAGCGAATGTATATTCTGAGTTTGAAGCACATCGGACAATAAACGCGATTTTTTAGTATAGCTCCACCCCTGCGCCACATATCCGAAAAGATAAAAGTTTGTGCACTCCTCCTTCGAAACACCTTTCCAACAAAGTAACAATCATCCGAATCGGTAAAGAAACATAGCAGAAAGTTGTTCAAAATTATTCATGCTTGCCTATTTATATATGGATATATGAGAACATATTGCATGGAACTGAATGTGACATAGCTCGGCTTTGGAGCCAGCTATCGGGCTTATTTTATGCTAGGTGTATTTATCCTAATGTAGCGAATGTATATTCTGAGTTTGAAGCACATCGGACTATAAAAGCGATTTTTTAGTATAGCTCTACCCCTGCGCCACCTATCGGAAAAGTTAAAAGTTTGTATACACCTCCTCCGAAACACCTTTCCAACAAAGCAGCAATCATTCGAATCGGTTAAGAAACATAGGAGAAAATTGTTCCCAATTATTCATGCTTGCCTATTTATATATAGATGTAGCGAATGTATATTCTCAGTTTGAAGCACATCGGACTATAAATGCGATTTTTTAGTATAGCTCGACCCCTGCGCCACCTATCGGAAAAGTTAAAAGTTTTTGCACTCCTCCTCCGAAACACCTTTCCAACAAAGCAACAATCATTCGAATCGGTTAAGAAACATAGGAGAAAATTGTTCCCAATTATTCATGCTTGCCTATTTATATATAGATGTAGCGAATGTATATTCTCAGTTTGAAGCACATCGGACTATAAATGCGATTTTTTAGTATAGCTCGACCCATGCGCAAAAATTGGAAAAGTTAAAAGTTTTTGCACTCCTCCTCCGAAACACCTTTCCAACAAAGCAACAATCATTCGAATCGGTTAAGAAACATAGGAGAAAATGCGATCTTTTAGTATAGCTCGACCCCTGCGCCACCTATCGGAAAAGCTAAAAGTTTGTGCACACCTGCTCCAAAACAACTTTCCAACAAAGCAACAATCATTCGAATCGGTTAAGAAACATAGGAGAAAATGCGATCTTTTAGTATAGCTCTACCCCTGCGCCACCTATCGGAAAAG